ACTACCGGTTCTGTGGGCGTGGCTTGGTGGGCGTGGCAGGGGAAGGATACTGTAAAATCTCCAGTCACAGGTGGTATTTGCTGATTCTCTGAACTACTCAGAATTTCCACTACCGGTTCTCCAGAACTGGTCAGAACCTGCTGAATTCCACCTCTGCTGGGGATGTAGTTAAAAGAGGGATCAGCCTAGAATCTCTACATTGTTTCAAAAGAGTCCAACTTCTCTTGAATTTTGTTGACCCTTATTTAACACCAAGCATGTGTTAAGTGTTGGCTGGGACAATTATTGTGCTTAGGTACAATTAACGATAAATCAGTTCAATTGAACCTTCACCTATGGACCTGATCTTTCACACCTGACAGAAATTTACACCTGACAGAAATTCCTGTGTAATCCAGGAAGTTACAGTAGTTTTAGAAACTAAATACAATTAGCATGAAGCAAATTGTTTATACTGTACCAGATTTGTACCTGGAAGATGTTAAGTGGAGGAAATTGGATCCTTGAATATGCATAGGTAAATAGGAAGAGAGATCAAACACAGGTCAGACAACATGATCCCACAAGAAAAGAGTAATGGATTTCTAATCATTTATCATCCATAAACCAACAGTTCATTTTCTCCCCCTTTTCAGCAAAAAGTCCAGTTTCTAGTCATTGATAAATGTTCTTATATTATGTTTATTATTGTGTAATGAATGGTAATTGATAGTCTTCTCCCTAAAGCAACTCAATTTTGCCATTTCTGCATATTCTGTCATCTTCACCAACCATTCCTCCATTGTGGGTAGAATAAATAAAATTATTTTATGTACTAATAATGATATAATTTTATTTCAATTTGTTGTTACTACTACTGATATTAATTTCATTGTTATATTATAGTTTACTATAATTATTTTATCATAATTATAGTATTATATTTTATATCACAACATTGCCCTTCCCTTCCATCAATAGGCTGACTTTTAATGCAATACATAGAAAATTAAAACAATAACATAATATATACTATGTAAACTAATCTATAAAAACAGCAGAAACATAAATTATACCCAGACAAAAGACCCTCAAATTTGTCAGTAAAAATATAAGGTGGTGGTGGGCGATACTACTACTATTACTACTAGTAGTAGTAGCACCAGGAACAGCAACAGCAAGGATAGTTGATTCCCTATGAATCCCGAACTGTTTGTTTTTCCCGTTTTATTCAATTCACCATGCTGCCTCTGTGTGCACTTTTTGAGTAGCTCCTATTTGTGTAGCAGAGTTTATGACACATCCCATCTCCTTTTTCACTGCTTCATTGGTCATTCAGTTTCACATCTATCTATACATTACAGTATGTGCTTTTCAGACATGTGGGAACCTCACTAACTCATCAATCACTATTTATGGCCATACCACAAGTAGTGAATAGCAAAAGAAATATCATTTCTTCCCTTTTTGCATTCTGAAAGGCTTTCTCGTTGGGCATGGAGATAAAGTAAAAATGGAGATTATCATGAATGCAACTGATGATTCCCATTAATACCTTGATTGATTGATTGATTGATTGATTGATTGATTGCCATCAACTTGGTGGTGACTTTTCGGAACCACAAGGATGGATTTTCTCCAACCTGGCCTGGTCCTTCAAGTCTTCCAGTGGTGAATCCATCACCATTGTAATTGAGCCCATTTATTTTATTATTGATTGTCCTCTTCTTTTTCCTTTGATCTTTTCCAGGATTATAGACTTTTCCAGAGAGTTAGATCTTTGCAAAAACATTTTGAAGTATAAAAATTTGAGCTTGATCGTTTTTGTTTTGAGTAAGAACTCTGGGTTTATTTGTTTGATGGCCCATTTGTTTTTTTATGACTATGATTGATCGATTGTTTAAGTCAACTCATTGTCCATTGTTAGTAACCACATAGATAAATGTACATTGTCCATCAAGTCATTGTCCATTATTAGTAACTACATAGATAAATGTTCTCCATTACAATCTATCCCAAATTTTCAGGTTTTCCAATCGTGCACTCATCAATGCTATAAACGGAATCTATCCCTATTTTCCTCCTTTTCGCTTTCCTTCTACCTTTCCAGCATTATAGCCTTTTCCAGAAAGCTAGGACTGAAATAGAATAACATAAACCTGGTCATTTGTGCCTCAAGTGAGAACTACAATTTGTTTCATCAACCATTTGTTTATTCTTAGGAATTAGATATTCTCAAGATTTTTTGCTAGCTTCAAACCCCAATATTTTAGAGGTTTGGGAGGTTAAGTATGAATGCAACTAGAGTGGAACCTCTGGTCATGACCGTAATCCATTCTGTAACTTTGGTCGGAACTCGATTTGGCCCTGACCAGAAGCAAGATTGACTGCACATGCACCTACAATTCTGCGGATGCACGGAAGGGAAAATTGGCGCAGAAGGGGAAATTGGCATGGCTGTCTTTGATTGCCACCTGAGTATTTGTTCGCGACCAGATGCAAAAATTATGCAAAATTTTTGGTTGTCACCCAATTTGATCATGATCAGAAGCATTTGTGACCAGAGGTTCCACTCTGTTTTGAAAGTTCTAAAGAGTTAAACAATAAGTGTCTCAATTCCATGAGAGTAAAGATATTTATTAGCAAAGAGAGAACATTTATTCTAATGATGCTAAAATGAATTGCCAGAACTACCAAAGTCTAGGAGGCTCCTTGTAACCTACCTAAGTTAGAACTGCTTCCAAAGTTTATTTTTCTACAAAAATTCAGCCTAAGTATGGCAAGATTGGAAAAAGGCCAAATTTACAGTGAGATTGTTCCATGTAGGTCATATATTGTTATAAACTGCAATGGATGTTTATATGGTAGAATTATGCTTCATAAGAAAACGTCCCTTTCACATAGAAATCTATCCATTAAGATATAGGATTTTAGCCCAGTTACCTTGCTAGCATGCTAGTTTATTTTGTAATGTTGACTCCTCTCATCAGTCTGAAATCATAAATCAATCAAAGTCTACTCTGACCTACTACAGGTTTTGTTTGTATCAGTTTAAAATATTCTGATAGCTCACTCTTGACTAAATGGAGGAATCCTAAGAGATGCAATTTCAGAATTAACAAGATCCCAGTAGCCTAAGCCATTATATGGGAAATATCCATTGGCATTTAGATATGTGTTGTTCTTCCAGCCTGGAACTCATGTGAGGTGCAGAATAGGAAGGGAATATTTTTTGGTAATGTAGAAAATGCAGCTGTTATGCCACTATTGTGTGCCATCCATCTTCTTCTTTCTTTGTTATATAGTATTTTCAGAGGTAATAAAGCAAAGAGGTTAATAGCACTATATTAGACAATAGAACCTCTTTCCTTTATATAGTATTTTCAGAGGTAATAAAGCAAAGAGGTGATAGCACTATATTAGACAATAGAACCTCTTTCCTTGTTATATAGTATTTTCAGAGGTAATAAAGCAAAGAGGTAATAGCACTATATTAGACAATAGAACCTCTAATTGAAAGGAACCATTACAAATATATGTGTTCTTTACCCCCGTGTTCACAGTACATTTTTAGCAACTGAATTTTACTTGTCAGAGCCTAATGGGTGCCTGCAGTCTTTGAACTGTCTGAAGCCTGAATACTTACTCTATAGGAAAAGGGTTTGTAAATGTCCTGGGCTTTTCTACATAGAGGTCTCTGTGTTCTTTTGCTTCTTGTGATATGATAAATAGAATGTGAAATTAATGACATTTTAATGTGCCTGGCTTGACTTTATCACAAACTACTGGTTTATAGGCTTGATCTGCTCTCCTGCCTTTCATATATTCCTTCAGATAGGTAGAATAATTCAGTTGGATGCTCTAATATGGGAAGTGTCAGCGTTGAGAGCAACTACAGAATAGCTGTAGTTATATAGGATATATAAATACGACTTCTAAATAAATGAAGTATAAATAATAAATAAATAATCCATGGATTAACTCAGCATATAGATCAAATACAATACAGAAATCAAGCTGTCTCCAAAAGAAAGGAATCAATTAGGTAGAAAATATCCGAGTTTATTTCTTATTAAATGTATTTACTTTTATTATCTTTCTCATCCAGGTGACACACAAGGGCCGAAAGTTACATTTGGAGACATCTTGGATAGTGTAATGAGAGATCCAATATTGTGGATGTAATTGGTGGAAAAAAGATTCAAAGAAACATATTCTCAGGTTGAGCAGGAATGAATGAGGTAAGGTCATTTTCTGTTCGATCTGTATCAGGGCACAGAGCCATCATGCCTTTCCTTTTTAAGCCCTGCCCCAAACTCCTCCGTCTTCCTAAAAGTTTCCCATGGTTTCATTTCTAAATGTAAATGCTAAACCAGAAGTAAATTGCTCCAGGAAGCAATAATGTTCTAGTTCAGAGGACTCGAGTAACAAAAGACTTCATTGATAACACTGACACGTATAAGGTAGGCTGGTACACAAATGAAGCTGTCAGATCCACATGAAGTAATTTAACTAGGTGTCAGCAACAAGAACAAATGCTTTTAAAGCATACTCCTGTAATGTGGCTTCCAATGTTTACAGAAACAAAGTCATCTTTCAATTGCTTTCTTTAGGGCTTTTCTGACCCATCTGTCTTTCATCATATACCTCAAAGCAGAACATATAAAACTTGCTTTGATGTCGTCTTCAGTTTTTAATGTTTATTCTAGAGCGAAAAAAAACCCTGCCTCCTGCAGTCTTCAGAAAAAAATCTGAGGCAATTTTCTAAGGACCAGTCAAATTCAAATTTGCTTTGTTTTGGCAAGGTGGGTGCCTTCAGGTGTGCCTGATTCGCTCTTTGTGTCAAAACCCTTTACCTTACCTATTGAAATGAGGCAGGAGGGAGTCCAGCACACATATTATGGCTTGTCTTGCTTCTTTTCTCTGTTTCTACCTTTGGTCACATTCAACGTGGGATTCTTCTGAGTGAACTGCTGCATATCTCTGTATCTTTTTTTTTTATTCTTTTCCATAGTTGAGTTATGGCAAAACAGAACCACACGGATTCATCAGATTTCATTCTTATGGATTTCTCCTTCCAGTCAGAGCATCAACACCTTCTGGGCTTGCTCTTCCTATCCATGTATCTCCTGACAGTCCTGGGAAATTTACTGATTGTTCTGCTGATTTCCTCGGATGTTCACCTTCTGCAGACCCCCATGTATTTCTTCCTCAAGCATCTTTCTTTGGCAGATGTGGGCTTTGCCTCTGTGACTGTCCCCAAGATGCTGCAAAACCTTCTCTTCCAGGTCAGGACTATATCCTATAGTGGTTGTTTGATGCAAATGCATTTCTACATGACTTTTGCCAACACAGACAACTATCTTTTGGCTGTGATGGCCTATGACCGCTATATGGCCATCTGCCATCCACTGCTTTATGCCACACGGATGAGCCACAAGCGCTGCTTCTTACTTGTGGCAATCTGTTGGCTCCTGGCATCCCTCAATTCAGTGCTGTATACATTGATAATGTTCCCTCTCTCTTTCTGTTCCTCTAAGAAGATCCCCCAGTTCTTCTGTGAGTTCTTCCCTTTGTTACGTCTGGCATGCTCAGACACAAGCGTTATAGAAACAATTTCTCTAATTGAGAGCTATGTGGATGTATTGGGCCCATTTATCCTCATCGTGATCTCCTACGCCTGCATTTTCTGCACCATTCTTAAGAGTCCCATCCACAAACGGGGAACAAAAGGCTTTTCCACATGTGGTTCTCACTTGGGTGTGGTGACCCTTTTCTATGGCACCCTCTGCTGGGTCTACCTGCAGCCAAACTCCAGGAGTCCAGAACAGAACATGATTTCTTCTCTCATGTACACAATGGTGACTCCCATGCTCAATCCATTCATTTACACTCTTAGAAACAAGGAGATCAAAGCTGCTCTGAAAAGATTTATTGGAAGGACAAAAACTGCCGACTTGTTTCAGTTCTTTCTCTGTTCCTCAAAATCTGCATTTCTGTGAGAGAGGGAGAGGAAACCGCAGCAAGGTGAATCCTGGCTATGTCCCAATCTGAGTTTGTACCTGGGATATTGTTATACTAAGAATGATAATCTCCTGTTGCAGGAATCACATAAAATGTTAAATTTGTTGTTTAATGAATATCTATAGAAACAATAAGGAGAACAAAATCTAAGGGATGATTGTTGGGTGATTATAGTTAATGGTACATGATGAACCTTATGAGAGTTAAAGTGGATTGGTAGGCGGAGAACTAGATTTGAAATTTGAAGGCATGAATTGAAACCACTGCTACATGTCAGGCTGTGTCATTTCTGGTAAATGGATTCCCATTTTTCACTGATAAAAGAATAAGTGGTTGCAATAATGGAGCATATCTAATTGTTATCATATCCCCACCAATCTTTGGTATAATCTGGGCTCAAGATGCAGTGGGTGTGGGTAGGGTCTGTAAGCATGTTTGCAAGTTGCATAATTGGGTGTGTGCGGGGGAATTCTATCTAAACAAAGATTTTCCTTACTGCAGTATTCAAATATTTACTAGATTGGTGGAAATGGGAACTATCTGGTTCAGGAAACAGGAACTACCCTGTTCAGGATCCCAGCCAGCTTGCCCAGCCAGTTTCCGTTCTCCTGTTTTTCCATCCTCAGTCCCAATCCATCAGTTAGCAAGCTTCCTATGGCCAGTTGAACATGCATCTATTCCATACAGATCAGGGGTGGGATTCAAATTCTTTAACAACCATTTCTGTAGGCATGGCTTATTGGTGGGCATGGCTTGGTGGTCATGTGACTGGATGGACATGGCTTGGTGGTCATGTTATTGGCTGGGCGTGGCCAACTCAATATCACTCACATCGAGGCACGCATCTCCTTGGCTGGCCTTTCATGACTGTGGGGATGCTGCAACAGTCGTAAGTGTGAAAAATGGTCATAAGTGATTTTTTTCAGTGCCATTGTAACTTTGAATGGTCACTCTACACAAGCAAAGTACCAGCAAAGGAGGGGGAAAAAACTCCAGAGAAGTTCCTGAGACAGAAAGTCTAGTCCTGCCAAGAATGTAATAAGGGTTAACGGAAAGGCAGCTTCTGGAAGCAACACCAGAATGTTTCCTTCTTTCCTTTGTTACAGGATTAGGCCAGTAATTTCTTTTAACATCTGGTTCTCTGAACTGCTTAGAATGTTAACAACCAGTTCTAGTGAATAAGTGTGAACTGGTAGAATCCCACCCCTGATATAGATCCTTTTTTATGTTTCTCCAAACTTGTTGTTGCTCCTGGGCTGCTGATGCTTCCCTGTTGTGTTGAGGGTGTGGTGGTGCTCACGATTTAAAGTTTTAGCAATCAAAAATGAAATTGCTATTAACAGGTAAAATTTCCAGTAACTTTTCTGTGGAGTGAAACTTGAAAGATCACCCCATAAAACTATTTCCTCAGAGTTACTCTACAAAACTAGTAAAAACTGGTATTGGTATTAATTTTCTAAGAATGTTACCTTTCTCTTTACAAAAAAAAAAAAAATGATAACAACATTCCTGTTCTTTTATTTGCAAAGTAAAATCATCTATAAAACACATCCACTGAGCTAACTAAACATTGTAGAACTCACCATATTTACAAGTAGTAGAATAACATTGCAAATGATGGCTTTTTGAAAAATTAAAAAAAATGCAAATAATGCAATAAAATGAATCATACAAACAGATTTGATGGAGATGATTACTTGAATTCCAAGATCTGAAATAAGCAGAGTCACAAACATTTCCAGTGTTATTTTTTTAAAAATGTAGTGATTAATTTTTTAAATATATTTAATTATAGAATAATTTAGGAAGCATTCTGATGATTTTTGGAAATATCACAGTCACAAGGAAACTGTTCTGAAAGACTGCAACTGGTCTAAATATAATTGAGATGAAATCTATTTAGGATAGATGAAAGATGAAATTAATCCACTCAGAGGATAATTCATTTATGAGTTTTAACATTACCTGGCATGTTAATAGCAACAAGTCTTGACAAATTTTCAAATAGAGATGAATGGCATTTTAATATGCTGATTTCGGATGGACATGCTGAAGGCATAGGTGGACTTGGAATACATATGTATCATAGACCCCGACTTCAGAATATTGAGATGCACTTCCTAACACACAGGCAGACAGACAGACAGACAGACAGACAGACAGACAAAAATACATACGTGTGAAGAAAAATAAGCATGGAACTATTTTCGTATAAAAGCATATACACAGAAAATGTACTTCCAATAAAATTGTTCTAAAATCTATAATATTTTAAAATACGCAAAAAGTGTACATTCAAGGAGTAATCAATAATGCATCAAAATATGTAGACAAAACTCTTTCGCTGGGTTGTATGTAGTGAGGCTGTACAGACCTTGCAGTCTGGTGGAAAAGAAATTGACAAATTCTAGAATGATTGGTTAATCTTCTTCCAAAAAGTCTGCACTTAACAAAAAAGTTTGAACATCTCATAGAGAGAAATGAATATTCTATCAATTCTCCCCCTCAGTGCCTCCAGAAAATCAAAGGCCTAAAAATAGAAGAAAATGAAATTATGGTTTCATGCAGTGTTCTTCATGTCCATAGACCTGGAACGAGCTGAAGAATCCATGGCAGTAGTACTACAAAACATACCCAACCTAGCCAAATATACTAAGATTAAAATACCAGAATAATGGATCTCACCAGCCTCTCCCTCACTACATACTTTTAGTTTAATGGACAAATATACCAAGAAATCAGAAGAACAACTATGGGATTACCACTCTCAGGACTCACAGCAGAGACTGTAATGTAGCATCTAGAAAGTACAGCATTTCCACACATACAACTGAAAGTCCCAATAGCTCAAGAAGGAAAAACAGGAGACCATCTACAGTATTCAGTGTAGGAAGTATAACAGCCACTACATAGGATAGACAGGCAGCAAATTAGCAGAATGTATGAACATGAACATGAACACCAACCAGCAGCTAGAAGACACAATGAAAACATCTTAATCTCATAACACATGGTTTGATTGAACCAAAGTTTCAACTGGGAAACTGTGAACATCAAGCAAAATCAAAAACGCTAGGGAATTTCCAGAAGCTTGGCATTTAGACCAATCTGTTATTGATAGACAGATAGGGATATAGCTACATTTGTGTACCATTCAAAATGGCCTATGACCATATGCTGCAAGCTCCAAGTAGGCATCAGGAAGGGTATCCAGCTAGTAAATGCTCAGCTCCACCCAGTTGCCCTGATCCTATCTTGAATTAAGAAGCTACAGGGTTGTAAAAAGAACAAAAAGTGAGATGAGACTTATATAGATGTAGTACAGGCAGTGGAGAGGGACATGTTGTATTGTTTCTAGGTGTCTGGAGTCACAGAGGCATTGTTTCTCTGGGTCAATAATTTTCCTGTATTGGTCATCAAGGACAGTTGAGGGAAGGCCTGACAGTGTGCATGAGTAAAACCCCTTAAGTGTTTGGATGTGCCACAGAAGAGCTAGAATGCCTGTTCACTGCCAATAAATTTGGGGTTGTGACTAGATCCAATTGTCCCTCTGTGTCTGCTACATGCTGTTTAATGAGTGCTTTGGCCATATTCTGTGCTGAATAGAAGATCTGGATAGAAGCTCAGGTTGAGATATTAGTTGCCAAAGCCTGTTTCCATGTGGGTTGAAAAAACCCATCACTCATAGTTAATGGGGCAAGGCTAAGAGGGAAAAAAAAGGATAGTCTGAGCCAATAGGTAAGTATGGCCTTCCCACTCTACCCCCTACTCATAAAGCCTGTCAATAGGTGCAGGGTGTCATTAGAGCCACAATTTGGGGTTGATCTTAGACATTTGGATTGTACAAGTTCTAATGGTGCAAAATTGGAGAAACCTTTCTTAGCCCTGGCAGAATGAAGAGCTACTCCAGTTATTTGAAACAAAAGACCTGCTCTATCTCAATGACCAATTATCCTTCTAAGTTAGACTCGGCATTGGGTTTCCAATTATGGGGGAAGCTTCCAGTTTGTTTCAAAAGCAAGAGGCGTTTTATGCTCAGTGGGAGATTGATGGTGTATAAATTTAATACATTAATTATTATTGTTATGTATGATAATAATGCAACAATATGGATCTTTGGTACTAAAGAAAAGAAACCAGCATCCTTGGGCCAGTTTTCAAGATGGAATAACAAAACACAAAACACAATCACAAAACACATTTCAGAGTTAAAAAGAAGATTTTGTGGGATGAAGGTGAGTCTTTATTATTTTGTTTAAGAGTTCAGGATATAATAATAGCCTGTAGTCTTATATAACACTGCATAGTGCTTTACAGCCCCCTCTAAGTGGTTTACAGAGTCAGCATATTGCCCCCAACAATCTGAGTCCCCATTTTGCTGACCTTGGAAGGATGGAAGGATGAGTCATTCTTGAACTAGTTTAGGATCAAACATATAGACATATCACATCTGTTCCTCCCATTCATTTAGCTGTGAGCCCTGGTTAC